ATTATCTTTTAAAAGAAACGAAACCCAACAATAATCTTAAAAAAGTTTTGAATGGAACTTGTAAGCCTTTTCCTGTCACATTAAGCAGTCATTCAAATGTTCTACAAGTACATAGAGTTATATTCAACATGAGCCATTGCTAACCAGCATACTAAAATTGTTTTTGATATTAGAGAATTATAGTTCTTTCTAAACTCATAATCAATCCTCTAAATCAGTCTACAAACTGAATTTTGACTTTTACATGTAAAAAGAATACTGCTTTTTGATATGAACTTCAGAAATGTTTGAGTATGAGTATATGCTGATAGAATTATAGATTGAATGTATGAGAGATTTTAAAAATAATCTATAATTTTACTAAGTATAAAGTCAATTTTCATAAAAGGTCCAAAAAATGGTTTTTCTTAAAACTCTGCTCCAGAGAACGAAGATAATGGGTTAAAGAGAAATTTTTAAGCAGTCCACAGATTGCTTTTATTTATGAATTAAATATTTTTTGGGATACAGTGGTACCTAGGTATACATCTGCTTTAGAATACGTCCTGTTTGAACGAAACAAATTTTGCTTGGTATACAACTTTTGTTCGGTATATGACTTAATTCAATTATACGCGCCATCTATGAACAAGTTGCACTATCGGTGTATTAGACCAGACTAGACGTTCGCAGTGCCACAGTTTATAACTTTGTTAAATTTTTTCTGATTTTAATTTTTAAGTAAAATTTTATTATTTTTATTAATCATGAATTACAATGGAATATGTATACAATGAAATTATAATAGAATCACAATGGAACTGAAAAAAGAGATTGTTGAGGAATATGAAGGTGGTATTATGCGTGATTGATATTTAACTGTTGCATACCACATTCTGAGAACGACAATATTGACAATCGCGAAAAATAAAGACATTATTAAATCTGCTAATGTTGCGAAAGGAGTTAAATCAAATCTAAACAGAGATCAAAGACATGTTGAGAAATTGCTTTAGATCATGTTGAGAAATTGCTTTTGCTTTGGATAACTGAAAAACAGTGTGCTGGCAACATTGTATCAGAAGCAATTATTTGCGAGAAAGCTAAAAAGATACATGCTGATCTCATGAAAAATCAAGCATGAACTAGCCAAGAAAGCGAGGTGTTTAAAGCCAGCCACTTTTTTTCATGAGAATGGATTAATCATTTTTACATTATTTCTTATGGGAAAGGTCTATTCAGTATAAGTCCAAACATTAGGAACGGATTAAGGTCGTATAGTGAGGTTTCACTGAATTAGCTGCCATCATTCCATTTTTATACAGATTAGAACATTATTTTTCCTGAGTTCTAGAAAAACACTGTTCTAATCTGTATAATGGTGGAATTTGATGATAACTATTATTACGAACGAGCAAATATTTATTGTGACACCTTCATAATTCTAGGCTGCAATTTTTAATCATATTTCTTAACTTATTTAATTTAAAATATATACTTTCCACCTCAAATCAGTGGTGACTTGCCTCTGTATATCATACTTTTCCTTTAACAATAGAGTCATGCCAGTCATCTATCTAATGCCTTTCAAGAAAAATTTTTGAATTAAAAAAATTGTTTGCAAAAGTTCATATAGTTAATTGGGCCTCCTGCCCTAAGGTTTCCATATCTGGTCTTGTCTTTCATCTATCTAACTCCATTCCTGAGATTTAGGAGACGGACAGATGGATAGATGACAGTGAGAATTTATAAATCTACAATTTTTTCAAATTGCAGCCAAAAAATGCTTAATTCATTAAAAAGAAAGTTATATTGCTATTAGTTCCTTATGGCATCTTGTTCTTCAGACAAGAGAAGTTATAAGCTTAAACACAAGTAGTCTGAAATTGTTGCCATAATCTTAAAACCACTCTTGGATTTAAGTTTCTTGACATTCTTTGATGTGTTTCCAGATTTCACATAGCTCTTCATCTTATTGAATGAAATAAATATAATTTTTTTATGGATGTCAAATTACATGTATATGTTTTTATTATTAAAATAAAAAATGTTTATTCTTGATATCAATGATTAGCACTTTTCAACAGTACATAATACTTTTTTTGAAGATTAAATGGATATATTTGCTCTAAAAATAATGAATTTGTATTGTTAAAAAGAATATTGTATAGAAGAAATTTTTATTTTTCTTTTCATTTATGAAAGCTTCTCTATTTAAATGAGAAATGTTAATTTCAGTCTTGATCATGTCACATCATAAATGGCTGCTATCTCCTTACTTGCACAAAAATTTTTACATTTTATCAATTTATATATATCCCTATTAAGATAAAAAATCCTTAATCAGATTATTAAATTTTTACGATTAAACATTTGTTTTTTTCATTTTTGGCTTTCTGTCCTGTGGACAATAAGGGGGCACTTTTTCATACCCATAGTGGGGCAATGAGTAGTGAAGGACATTGTTCCATATATCTGAGATCAATCACTATGAAAAATTTGAGGTTTTTGCCTAGATACAATCCTGGGTCTATCAAAATAATAGGCTGATGTCCAACTGCCTCAATTATCTGGCTGACTTGATTAAATTTGATTACCAAAACATCATTCTGTACAATAACTATCTTTTGTAAAGATAAAATTAATAATATATTTCATCTACTCTGTAAGTGTAAATAAATGCCTAGTTGAACTATGCATATTCCAGAAATTGCTGAATCAGACAATTATGTTAATTTAAGAAACTAATTTGTTTTAACTTGTAAAATATCAATGTATCACTAGGATTGCTGATTATATTAATGAATTTTTTCTATATAATGGTAATGTAATTGTTAAATTTAATTTTATAGATGTATCTTTAATATGTTTTACTACATTTTGTACTATGTTAATGACTACATTTACCCAATAAGCTGCAGCTAAAATCAATAAAGTATTATTAATTTTTTTTATTGCATAATTGCAAATGAATATGTACAAACTAGAGGCATAAATATTTATATTTATTGTTTTAATGATAATATTTCATTAAATGTAAAATCATTATTAGATGTCCAGTTTAATTAATATTTTTGTAATAGTACAAAGCAGAAAGAATTGAAAATCTACAATAAAAGTAACAATTAAACTAATTGATTTAAGTAGTTTTAATTTTTCAATTAATAAATTAAATAATTAATTTTTAAAAATTTTACTTTTTTGATTATTCTTTATAATAAAAACTTTCAGATTTGAATTAGTTAATTTCCTATTTATCAAAATTTATTTTTTAAAATTAAAATCAGTAATATACTTTTTGACTAAATTTAGTTAAGTTGATTTTTGGGAATTATGTACAAGTCAAAAAGTAAATATTGGAAATTTGTTTTTAAATAAGAAAATTCAATAAACCAAATTTTATATTTAAAAAATTCTCAAAAATTATGTAATGTGAAAACAAAACAGTTTGTTTATAGATTCAATCCTTCAATACTGCATTGTAAAAATGAGTGAGAGAGAGAGAAAGAATAAAAGAAAAATAAATTTACAGAATACCAAATTCAAAATAGAGAAAAAATCATATTAATTCTAAACAATATATTATTAAATTTATTAGTACACTGGTGACTAATATATTTGTAAACTAGATATAATATAGTCTGTGAAATTCACCCCACAACTGTACAATATATGGGATCTCCTCAATATGTTTCCTAGGTCAACCTGGATTTTATTTATTTTGTTTTCAATAAATACAGAGTGAATACACATGCAATTCATTTCAATTTGTAAACTGTTTGAGAATTAAAGGTATTTAATATTATCATTTCTTAACTTTTCTATAAATTTCTTTTAATACAAATAACAAAGCAAGTACCTAAACAAGCCTAAATTTTTGAATTATTTTTCAGGTTATATTATAATTAAATTTGACTAATAATTTGGATTTTGATATACTGTATATTTGTAAAAAGAATTGTTCAATTACAATAAAGCAAAAAGAAAACTACAAATGAACTTAATTCAATCTTTTAATTTTTAACAAAGAAGAAACATAACTACTTTTTAAACTTTAACTCAAAACTTACAAGCATTACATTAAATTGTAAATTAAACGAAAAAAATATACAACAATTTTATAAAAACTTTTTAAAGTAATTGTTATCTCAATTTAATATAAAACTGTTTGTAATATTATGATTACTAATTTTAAACATTGTAGTTTACTTCATATGACAAATTATCATATTTATCAAAACATATATGTACATTGAATCAGCTTTTTATTTATTCTCTATAAATATTTATTGCATAAATTATAGTATATTTATGATTAAACATCTATGTGATAATTGTCATATAAATGTCAGTTCTGTAACTTAAAATAGCTTACTTTTTACATAACACTTATTTGATTCTTATTAATGAGTTCTTAATTAAATAGTCATAATTTTCAGATTCAACTACTTTAAATTAAACACTGAAGCAGAAAATTATTTTACCTTCAATGAACAGACTGCAATAGATATATACATGCAATTTAAATCAGTTATCTAAACTCACACAAAGAACTAGAACTGTTGATCAAAAAAAAAAAAAAAACTACTTGTACTTACTCTAGCACTCAAATTTTAATATAAGCACATGTTTTTTGGTCACATTTAGGGGCCTTCATCAAATATTGTTCTATAAAATTAATGTATTTCAATTTATAGAATGGCTTTCTTGCTTGATGGTCCATAAAGGTGACCAAAAACATGTGTGTTTATATTAAAACTTGAGGGCTGAAGTAAGTACAAGTGATGTGTTTTTACTTTTAAATCAGGATGTGTTTTTACTTTTAAATAATTTGAAATTTTAATTTACTAATATGACAAAGAAAAGAATTTATATAATAAATTTTTAAATTTTTGCTGTTTTTGTATGATTTCAGATTATAATTTTTTTGATGTTATATATCATTTTATCATATTCAATTTATAAAACATGTTTACTATACTTCTTATTTACATTTATAAATCTAAAATATAAATTCTTTCTTAAAAAGATGTAGTTAAATATGTACATAAATTGAGTATAAAAACATTTTATATATAAAATGTCAACTTTTAAAAAGCATTTCAATAAATTTCTGGTACATAATTAGGATGGACCACTAATATTGGATCATCCTCTTCCATTTCTTCTGAATCTCCTTTCAATCCTTGTTTAGATAATGGAATGATAATTTGATCCTAAAAGTAATATTCATTTTTAATTGAAACTAAAACTTATATATGAAAGAATACTTTCAAATTTATACTTACGTGTTCTATTAATCTATCAATAACCTTTTCCACTGTTAATTTCTTTATAATCAATTCTTCTTCTGTTTCAATTTCACTTTCTATTTCTTTTAAGTACCAATTTATAAGATCACTTCGTTTTATTCCAAGCTCACTTTTTTCTAAACAACAATTTAGAATAACAATTATTATTATAAGTACTAGTCTAAAAAATAATACAAATTATGGATTAAAATATTTTGATATTTTATGATGTTATTAGTATTGATGATATTCTTAAAAACACAAATCAGTTGATTAAAAGAAGATTTAAAATAATAATTATTAAATTGAGGAAGACAAAATGGAGTTTTACAATAGACATATCTTTCAAACTGGCAAAAATATTTTAATCTCAAGTTTTCAACTTTAGATCATCCCTCAGGATATACAAAATTAATTTCAAAATTTGAACAAAATACATTTAAGTACATACTGTTCTAGAAAAGTTTAAAATTCTTAAAAAAAAATATATATATTTACTTTATAAAACATTCTTAAGTACAAAAACCTCATAATTAACAATACAAAAATGCAAATAAATAAAAGCTTTTATTTGCTATTCCCATTTATTATATCTCTACAGGGTTGGCATAAAGTTCCATCATCCCTATAGAAAATTAATTGTAATTTATGTTCCATTTGTTGTTTCTGATAAAAGAATATGAAAAATGGCTGACTCAAGTAACAACACTGTAAGAACATATGATTGCTAATTGTTGCATTATAGAAAGGACAACAGAAAACAATGGAAGAGGTGCCTGTAGACTTCCAGCAGAGATTTGGATGATAGTCTCCTCCAAAAAAAAAATACTTTTTGAATGGAAGCATAAGATTCTTACAATAGACAATGAAATGGCTAAGCTTACAAATTGCTGTTCAGGGTATATCCAGTTCCAAAGAATATTTCTGCATTGATTTCATTGATGATCTCAGCACTGACTCCTTGGCTTCACTGCATTTTCTACATCTGACAGAGGGTCTGTTACTTCTTCAATTGTCCTTTGTGCTACTTGTAAAATCTTATGCTCCCACCAGAAAAATATTCTTGAAAACGCTTGTTGAAAAACACCTTGGAAGATTTTATAATCCAAATCTCTGCTGGAAGTCTGCATGCATGCATTGAGGAATATATAATCACTAGATGTTGTGTTTATGAAAAGAAAAACAATGGAAGAATCTCTTCCATTGTTTTCCCTTTCATAAACCCAAAATCTAGTGATTATATATTGCTCAATGGTGTAGTTACTTAAAACAGCCATTTTTCATGTTCTGAAATAAACAACAAATAAAATGTATGATTGATTTTTTATATAAGTGATGGGACTTTGTGCTCACTCTTTTTATAACTTTATCCAGGAAACTGGGAAAACTTTGACATCTCTTACATTAATTAAAATAACTACTCCTGATTACCTGTTTTTGCATTTCAGTTTTTTTTAGTAATTTTTAAAGAGTAATATTTTTCTGCAGCTTGATAATTCTACATTATCTCAATCAACAATGTTGTTTTCTCTTGCTACAAATCTTTCTAATGCTATATTACAATTTCAAAATGGAGTTTGCCCTCTAAAATAAACTGATATTGCATTCATAAATACAATTAATCAAAATATGAATTAATTCAAATTAACAAATTTATTTATTTATTTGCATTTTAAGTAATGTTATGTAGCAAGACTACTACCCCAACAAAAGTAATATGTCCCATTAAAATGAAAACAATAATAAAATCATAAATAAATGATTAAAAACAAGATGAAAAATTTACAAGATGAATAAAATTAGTATATTATATAAAAATTAAAGATATATATAAAAATGAATGTGTGTGTCCCTATATTTCACTTTTCAGCCAAAACTACACATCGCACATGAATGGTGTTTGTATGTGGTAGTAGCCCCAAGTCTCCATTAGTGCACTATGGTGGTTGCGTCTCGATAGCAATAAGGGTGCGGGAGATATGGGCTTGAAAGTGAAAGATTTTCTATTTAGATTTAAAAAATTTTTGAATTTGAGTTCGTATTCAAATTGGTTTGATTATAGAACGATTGTAAACGTTCCAGAAAATTGATCAAATTGAAAATAGTTCGTTTGACTGGACGTAAAAATTCTCTAATTAGTCTGGAAACGGGGGACCTGATTCTTGCATTCTGTGAAAACGGGTAAGATTGGCTATAATGTAATTATCTTAATCTTCACTATCGTTACTTTTTGCCCACAAATAAAAACCCAGTGAAGCGGGTCCTTGCAGCTAGTAAAAATTAAAAATAAAGAGAAAACATGCATATATAATAAAAAATTTACAATGGTAAATTATAAAGTATTTTTTCCACTTAAACTTTAAAATAAGTAATATTGAAGCTGCTGTAAACAGTACAATAAAAAAAAAAACAATTAGGGAATGACAAACAAGATAAATTTCAAGTTGTCTAGGAGGAACACAGATAGAAATATTATGTAGAGAAAACATTCCACTGAAATACTTACAAAATAAAAGCTGATGGAAATAGTTAATGCATGCAGAGAGTTTTGGAAATCCGAATCTTTTTTCTGGCATCTCATTTGAGTCAGTATAAGGTAGATGATGAAGCTTGTTAAGCAAAAGATAAACCTTACAAAATGCATTTGAAATCTTATTAAGTGGTGGTAGAGCTGCTGTTGACCGTAAAATCAGGCAATGGTTGACCAGGAATTGAAAATTAACAAAGAAGAGAGATCTTAAAACTGAACATGGCAAAACTAAGTTACACTGATGCTACATAATTCCCCTTAAGATACGTTTTACTAGTTTATTAATATGGCATTTAAAAGTTAATTTTTCATCAAAACTGACTCCTTGGTCACATTAATAAGAATAAACATAATTACAGTGGAACCTCACTTAACAAGCACCTCTCATAACAAGAAAACAAATTGTAAAAAAATGACTCGCTTAGAGAGGGGAGTTTGCAGATTGTGCCATGCTCCATCAGTCTGTGTTCAGCACTTGTTCTGCTAGCATCTTAGTGTCGCTTGTGATCACACATTTTTCCAAACTTGTGTTCACACATATTAAGTATAAACATCAACAATCATAGCCCATTATATAATAAACATGCCAATGTGCCAAATTCTTGGGCTATGTAAAGGCTATAATTAAATATTAGAAATTAATTAATTTGACTAGAGTTAGGCAGTTACGCTGCCATCTTGTATTAAATTTAATAATTATAAATAATTAATTTTTAATTTGCAAGTTAGACATTTCTAAAATTTAATTTGGAATTGGTCATTAAATTTAATACAAGATGGCAGAACTGCCTACATTTAGTCAAATTAATCAATTTCTAATATTTAATTATAGCCTTTACATAGCCCAAGAATTTGGCATATTGTTTGACGTGTTTATCAGATATATTATCTGTGATTTTTTTGTTCTCTGCAAATTGAATTCATATTCCAGGTTGGTTCGTTCTGTGTTAAAAGAAAAGATGAAGATGATTCATGCTCCTTAACAATGTATATTGTATAATTTTCTTTGAATAAACGTTATACATAAAATATTTGAGTATTTTTTTCGGCATTGCCATATTTTACATTAATTTATATGGGAAAACTTGTTTTTATTAACGAGTGTTTCACATTATGAGTAAGATTCTGGAACAAATTATGCTGGTTAAGCGAGGTTCCACTGTAATTTGTTGCCCATAAATATAAAAGGTGTAATAATTTGGATTTCTTAATAGTAAATAACACATAGATACCATTTTTGATAAATTAATTTTAAGATTAAAAGAAATTGACTAGTATATTGATATCTGTATGTGGAATTTCAGAATATGAGTTAATTATCTAAATTCTAAAATCAGCATAAACTGTGATTTTAGATTTTAACAAAACAAATAGCAAAATCCAGGTAAGCAATAAAAAAAACACTACTTAAAGCTTTTATCTTTTTTTGTTTGATTTTGTCTCTCAACAAAATCAGTTTATACAGCAATCATTTATTTTTAGCTTTCCTATTATGTTATGCTATATTTATAATATTTACCTTCTGCTTTGCTTTCTTCTCTTTGAAGGTACATAACAAGCAAGTTAGATAATGATTTATAAGCTTCATAACTTAATTTTAATGTTTTTATTTCTTTAGAAGGTACTTGATCTTTAGGCTTAGATTCACCATCAACTTCCATTTTTTCATGTTCTTCTGCATCTCCGTTAATATCTAAATAATTCCAATATTATATTTTATCTATATGCACACATTAACTGAGAACATAAAAACATAGTTTTATATTTTAAAATGCTTATTTAGTATCATTAATAATTAATAATAATTCTATAAACAAGACAAACTATAGACATATCTGTTTTTAATAATGTTAAATTTTGACAACTGACAATTTTTTAAAACTACGTATTCATTTTTAAGTGACCTATATTTCTATGATAATTTTTAAATTCATGACAGATGTCATACAGATGGAAAGTACAACTGAGATATAACAATAATGCAGAGTACAATATCAATCAAACAGTTTCTTCAATTAATGTTTGAAATTAAATTTGTTTCTCAAAGAAAATTTAGAAAACATTGTTCGATAATAAGTGAATAATCATTTTATGAATTAATCATTGTACAATCCAGGTAGTGACAATTATCAGTTAATATCATCAATTTTTGATATTTTGGCAGAAATCCTATATTTTAACATATACAGTGGGTGATCGGTTAACGAACAAATCAGATAATGAACACTTTCGCGAAAGATTTTTATGATCGGACAACAAACACTTCAATGAACAAACACAAGAAGAAGAGACGTAAAATAATGAATACCGATTGGTCTTCCTTTGTCTTCAGGCAACAATTCGAAACTTTTCAGAGCGCGGGAGACGATGAAATCGATGTTCTATCCAGTATAGCCTATACTGATTGAATAGCATTCCCCTGAACTTTGAAACTATCCCTTGTAATTCCAGCCTTTTATATTTCTGACAGAAACAATTCTTTTATGTTTTCTTCTGAAAATGCGAATTTACGCCGATATCTGCTATTAAAGATCTTTTGAAGAAGTGGGAGGATGTCAGAACAACGGTCTTAAAATGGCATTCAAACCAGGTTAAGGTCAATAGGCATAGAGAGCTCTACAATTACAATGCTATTAATTACTTCTGAAAAATCCTAAAGATGAGAGAAAAGCAATCAACGTTAGACAGATTCTTTAACCCCCACAAACGGAAAAAACATGACTAATAAAAATGCAAGACCGTGTATATATGTATTTTTATTATTACATATGAATAAATGTAGTAAGAAAGTATATATTTTTTATTTTTTTTGGAGTCTCCAGAACGAATTAATCAAATTTCCACAGAAACGTATGGTAAATCGAGAATCAGTTAACGAACAATTCGGATAGCGAACAAAGTCTTGGAACGGATTATGTTCGTTAACCGATCACCCACTGTACTTAATTCTGCTTAAGGAAAAGTTGGTTAAAAATTTCTATCAACCTTTTTTCTAGCCAAAAATATAGAAATAGTATACTAAACAATATTGCTTAGTGTCAATGTCCTTCCACTAACTTGCTAGAATTTACATTATTGCTTTCATAAAATTTCAACAAAATTTAAGTATATTTAGCTGATGTATGTATTCAAAATTTCAGGAATTTTGGCTAACTTTTCTAAAATGTTTCATCTGGCATTAGCATTATATATAAAGATACAGTATGTTTTTTAATTGTACATTTATTTTAAGATTTTTTAAATGTCAAATATTTTCATCATAACAGATTTTTAAAAAATCTGTTATGATGAAAATAACAGATTTTTTAAAAATAGGCATCATAACAGATTTTTAAAAAATCTGTTATGATGCCTATGATTGCTTATTTTATGCCAGACTATCTTTCTTGTTATATGTATCTGATAATTGTTTTGGCATTTTTCAATAATTCTTTAAATAAAAAAAATTTAATCTGGAAACAGAAATTGTAGTCTTACAATATGCATATTGAAATATTACTATAGCTGTACAATACAACTTTCTTTGAAGCTGAAATTGCATAATACTTGTTAATATCAACTATTGATTAACATCAATCCTTATACACAGGTTGTTGCTAATGAAAATCTACTATGTTTGATTGGTTGAGAAGTAATTTAAAATTTATATCCCGTCATTTTTGATACTGAATATACTTTTATTTATTTTATTGAAAATAAAAATTATTATTATTTTACCATTCATTTCCAAATGTTCTTGATCTTCATCTTCTTCTTCATAAAGATTAATATCTGGTTGTTCTACACGAATTATAGATTTATTTAATAATCTATATGCCTCTTTTACATGTCGAGTTTCTACCTATTAAATCATAAATTCATATTCTATAAATTTTCTGGAATTAATTATTTAAATAAGTCAGTATTAAATAATGCATAATTTAAACAAAAAATAAAATAATTTACTTTCTAATGTATTACTTTATACCAGGTGTGTCAAACTCATTTAAACAACAGGCCACTAATGCGATTGGTAAGATTCACATGGGCCAGATCACATTTACAAATTTTCTTAAAATTATAATTTGAAGTGAAAATGCAGGAATATAGATAGGGCAATTAAAACATATTATATAGTTCAGTGAATTCAACTCAACAATATATAATTCCTATAGTATTGCTTTTATTTAAACATTTATTTTATTTCATGTACATATTTATAGAACTAAAATTAATTGTTTTCATCGTAAACTTGCTAGCGTTATCTTCCTCCTACTAGTTTTCCAACATCTGGATTCAAAGACTGAGAACAAACAATCTTCGTTATGGCAGATAAATGTTTATCACTTAATCTTGATCTGTAAGCAGTTTTATTTAATTTTAGATAATTGTGGCTGCAGGCTATGAAAAATCACATTGAGGGCTGCCAGCTTGACACCCCTGCTTTATACTATTATAATATATAATGTAATATATTATGTAAATGAAAATTTATTTAAAGTTCAAGGAATTAAATGCAAACCAGGACGTTAATATGTACTGTATAATACAATTTATTTTATGGTAATTTATAGCATACAGTATTATTTTATAAACATCAATCTTACAAAAAATCTCCAGAATATATTTTATTTATTTGAAATATTTTGATTGACAGGTTAAGTTTCTTTTAAAGAAATTAAAATTTATGTAAAATTTCCTTTTAATTAGTGATAGATCCCTTTGAATGTTTGAATAATCAGTAATCATTCAAATCTATAAAATTTTACTTTTTAGCTAAAGTCTTGTAATTTCTCAGATATTTAATGCTAAAATGATATTGTAATCACTTTACATTTTTCACATTAAACTTACAAACATGTCTCAAAAATTTTTAAAATTCTATTATTAATAATAGAGTATTTTTGATATAATTACAAATAATTTATTAATTTAAAATTTCACTCTTAATTTATAAAAGTTATTAAATAGCCAATGTTTTTATTTAAATAAATGTGCTTAAAAACTGAAGTTTTTATCGATTGTTCATTATGGAAACAAATCAAGACAATCTAAATAACTCACATAATTAGCCTGCATTTTTACAGCATTTGACAGAGAACTTCCTTACTATCTAGTGTAGTGTTTCCCAGTAACTATAAAATTACTTCTTGTGAATGAGTATAATTTTTGGGATAAAATTTTGAGGGTAGCTTAATGTATTTTTTGGCTTTTTAACTATTTCTTTTTTATTTTAAAGGTAAAACATGGATAATTGAATCAATCAAATGGTTCTGATAATTAAAAAATACATTATTTTTTATTTCAATGAATCCATCAGTATTTTTCACTCAATAATGATTATTAAATGAAATTAATAATCCACATATAGTCTAAATTATTAATTAATTAAATTATCTTAACACAGGAAAGCTTTTATATATTATATAACATAAAATTTTTATTGATGTTTTGGAAATGTAATAGCAACATAACAGTAATACATTTCTACAAGAGATAAAAATTTATACAGGGCTGAACAAAATGTGAGGCTATTTTTGAAGAGTTTTTCTTTCAGTTTGGAACCCCACTCCTGCTACACCAATATGTGAACCGCTGGGGAGATTGGAGGTCTCCCTTTCCGGCGATAGGTCGTTAAACCTGTTCACTGTCAAGATGGCTTAAATGTTTCTTCTTCCCTTTCCCACGGTAACGGGATTTAATTGTTCGGATCGAGTGGAGGAGGGAGGAGTGCCATTGGTAAGGTGACAGGCGATATACGAGTAAACTGAGGACACCAATTTAACAAGGAAACAACGATTTATTAGCTATCTACATAGACGGTACAATAACTATTATCAAGGGGAAATGCTGAGTCCCTAAAACGCGAAGGGCTGAGAGAGAGTTCACAAAAATTTGTTCCATACCTCTTTATGGCTTTAAATATTCTTGAGGAAAAAGGTTATAATATCCAACGGGTTCCGAACTGGTAGGATAAGGATAATAATTTCTCAGCACACAATATATCAATAGGACACAATAGACGAGGAAATTGTAGTTGGCGGCTGATGAACGACTCCCGAGAGGGGGAAGCAAGTGGCTTTTTATAGTTTCGTCGTGGGAGAATGGTCATGTGACCAATTGTTGTGAGATAAAAGGTACTCGGATGGGTCAAAGTTGTCCCCGGGCCCATGCTAACTATCAACTTTGGAGTTGGAATGTGGGATTATTTTCGAAATGGGCAGATGTTTACTTTGAACAAAAGGGGAGATTGGAATTGTTCCCCTTTTTTTTAAGCTAGGTTTTAGTTTAGAATTTAAAGGAAAATTTAATTGGGGGTTTAGAAAAATGCGGGATATTAATCGGAAAATTCGATAAAAATTCCAGATTTCAGAAAAGTTCGTTCAGGTATTTACACAATTGCTCATTTGTGTTGCCTTGTGCTTATGAAGTTTTAACTTGTGTAGGTGGGCATTAGCTATATTTGCATATTTAATACATAAGTCTAGTTACAGTTTTTTTTTAATTCCATTATCTTTTAAGGAAGAAATAAATTAAAATGGAAGATAAGAAGGTGCATTTTTGACATCTCATGCTATATTTCCGAAAAGGGAAAAATGCAACAAAAACTCAAAATAAGATATGTGCTGTATATGGGGAGGATGTACATGAGAGAAATTGAATATGCCAGAAATGATTTTCAAAATTTAGGGCAAGAGATTTTTCTCTTGAAGATGCACCTCAGTCAGGACAGACCTCAACAATAGAAGATGAGTCCATAGTGACTTTAATCCAAAGTGATTAGCATAGAACAACATGAGAGATAGCCAAGATTTTGCTAGCCTGGATATACTTCCATTATGATGTTTAGATTCTCCATCTGTTAAGTGAATGAAGCATTATTGAATGTGCTTCTGTTTGTAATTCACTTTTAAAATGCAATGAAGATGATCCATTTTTAAAGCGATTAATAACAGGTGATGGAAAATGGATTGTTTACAATAATATTCAACACCAGATCAAGTGTGGATCCACCAGTGGGATGCAAACCATGTAAAGCTGGTTTGCATCCCAGAAAAGTAATGATTTCAGTTTGGTGGGATTGGAAAGGGGTTATTACAAGCTTTTGCCCAACAACCAAACAATTAATTCCAATAAATATTGTCTCCAACTGGATGAACTGAAAGTTGTAGTGCATCAGAAACATCCAGAAGTTGCAAATCAACAGGGAGTGGTTCTTCATCATGATAATGCAAGGCTGCACATATCACTAAACATGTGCCAAAAACTTCTAGACTTTAACTAAGATGTTTTGAGTCACCCTGCATATTCTCCAGATATTGCTCCCTCAGAATATCATCTTTTTCATTTGTTGCAGAATAATTTAAATGATACAGAATTTCAATCTTTAAAAGGTCTCAAAAATCATATTGATAATTTCTTCAATCAGAGACCTACCAATTCCACACAGAAGGAATTATGAAACTAACTATCATATGGTATAAGATTATTGACCACAAGGGTGAATACATTGTGGATTAAAGGTATTTATTTATTACAAAAAGGTATATTTTAGTTCTCTCTAAAAATTGAATAAACTTTTGGAATGATTGAAGGAACTGATTTTTTGAGATAATTCTAAATCATCTGAAATAATAAACATGTCTTGTCTTCTTAAACAAAATGGGTTTCATACACTGTATACAGAGATATAAACATTTTTCAACCTAATAATTAGTAATATAACTTTGAAGAGACTATTTCAATCCACTTTTTTCAACCCAAAAAAATATAATTTCTATTAAAATATCACGACTGCACACCTTAGAGCAGGGGTGTCCAACCTTTTTGTTTCTCTGGGCCACATTGAAAGATGTCATGGAGTTTTGGGCCACAAGTGTATTATATATACTTGTGGCTTAATCCTTAAATATACTTGTATATTTAAGAATTAACAAATCTAGATTATAGTAATAAGTATTACATCTTTATCACGAAGAAGGATATATTAAAAAATTACTTCTACAGACATTTTTAATTTTTACTTAGAAATAGATAAATTCATTTATTATAAAGGAGACAAACAAAAATGTATTTGAAAAACACAAATATTTGGGTCTCTAATTAGTAAAAATTGACAAAACACCATTTTAAAATGCATTTTTNAAATAGATAAATTCATTTATTATAAAGGAGACAAACAAAAATGTATTTGAAAAACACAAATATTTGGGTCTCTAATTAGTAAAAATTGACAAAACACCATTTTAAAGTGCATTTTTATTTGACTAATATATTTATAAATAAGATGTAGCCCAAAAAGTAGCCAACGCGCCAAATGATATTTTTTACGGCAAACTAAAAGAAAGGGTAGCCAACTTTGGCGCAAAGTAGCCGAATCATGCAAAGCTGGAAGAAATACTAAATAAAGCTGGAGTTGGACTCAAAGGATTATAGACCCAAATGCGGGGAAGAGAGAGAAAGGACAAAAGGTAAAGAAGTGAGGAAGATTGAAAAATTAAGGGTCCATATTTGCTTAACAGAAAGTCTATTTAACCTTTCTCACTATGTTTTGTCTTTTGGTCTTTCTCTCCTTTCCTCAAATTTGGATCTATAATTCTTTGAGTCTCAACTTTAGCTTTATTTAGTATTCCTTCCTCATTCACACATTTCCAAGTATTTGAAAATATTTCCTTTCCACTCAAAAATAAAATACATATAAAGGTTTAAGGCTTTGTGAAACTTATTTCTGAGTTTGAGCCATTGAAATAAATAAATAAAATTAAATAAAAAATTTGTCGGTTTTGTGTACACGTTTATTGGGCTGCATTGTAACTTTCCTTGGGCCACATGCGGCCCGCGGGCTGGACACCCCTGCCTTAGAGGTATGAAGGAATACATGTCAGGAGTTGCAATTTGGCACCGAGTATTTGGTGCCTAAATCATGCACATATAAAATAAATCAGACTTGTAGGTAGTCAGGGAACTGAGAACTGGGTCAAAAGAAAATATGAAATGCTAAGATTGTTTCTACAAACAGGTACGAGTGCAAAATTTGTGCATGTGTTGTTCGCACCCTCCAAGACATAGTCTCATCCCAAAAAATGGCTTTGCCATTTTACTTGTTTTTATTATAAAACAGATAATACCTTTTATTGCACATACAGTAGACCCCCCTATAAAACGGGTTCCTATAATTACGATTCCTATAAACTGCGAAAAAATTGCGACGGTATCCGTAAAAAAACTCCTATAACTACGTAAAACGTCATCGGGCAGCCGAACTATTTTCCGCCGTCAAGCGCCACGCTACGGAGAGATTACTATTGTCTGTACAGTATTATATATAAATTATATATAAATTAGGTACTATATATATAATTATATATTAACTTAATTTATTGTAACTTTGTTATAATTATATATATATTTTCCGCCGCGTAGCGCCACACTATGGAGAGTTTAGGCTAACTATCGTCTGTACAGTATGTAAATTAGGTACCGTAAGTCTAATACAGTACTGTAATTTTATACATTTCTTGTGAAAGGAACATTTTTTATTCAACGGCGATTAAAATTATTTATATTAATGATGTCTCCAAAGTTCAAGGAAGTTTTCGCAGAAAAATAAGTTATTAGAAATCAGCCGCTGTTTGCTGAGCTGTTCCGTGACGAAAACAAGCTTGAGCAATGGCGATGTCGAATGGCGTACACTCGGTAAGTAATCCTACAATTTTTTGTTTATAGCGTAGTTTATACGGATTATTTCCAAAAAAAATATACATATTTTGGAAATGTTGAGTCGGATTAGTCTAGAATCGATTAATTTTATGGAAGAAAACCTTTCAATCAGCCGTAGTCCGTAAACTTCACAGTGTCGGGCTGTGATTAGAAGGACTCGTAAGAAATCGGATTCCTAAAGAATGGAACGTATCTATGATCTTATAGGGGGGGGTCGAGTGTATTTTATTTTTTGAAGTTGTAGTGATTAATAAATGAATGATGACTAGATAGCTGAGGCAGTAAAAGTGTCAGTTTGCTATAGAGCCTATATATATAGGCCAACGCCACTTTGGCAGCCATGGTTTAGCCAAAACAGTAAATCCTGCTTCAGTATAGACAGTATATGACAATTTCTATAAATTGTAATGGAAACAATGTGACAAACGAAACTGCATAATGAATTTAGGTGTTCAAATAAAGTATGTCATCTTTAAAAGAAATAGGAAGGCATGACCATCATCAAACTATGTGTAAATTTGACATGTAAAAATAGTGAGTGTTCCACTGTGTTTACATTTATAATTTTCTAAGCAAACTTACAATAAAGGCAATTTACATAAATCAAATTCACTGCTGAAGTTCAGACAGCTGTTATTTGAACTAAGCAGCTGTTTGATTTATTCATCAATATTATACCAAATTTTATGATTTTATGAACTTTTATAATAATCTTTTCATTATATGTATTATTTACTTACTACTTCTGAACAATGTAAACGAGCTAAAGCCTCAGAAAGACGAATCATACTCTCAAGCTGTCGAACAGTGATACGCCATGATGATTTACTTGTTCCAGTTGCATCTCGCTGACGAAGACTACGATAATGATCAACAAGTTGCTTTGCAGCTTCTTCACTTACCTAATTTTATTAAACAAATTATAAAAAATAAATATTGTTTAAAATAATAAAATTATAGTAAAACTTGCAAAGCCCTACAATAATAACTATAAATACTATATTTCCTATTTTCATAAATAACATATTTTCAACTTATTAAGGAGCCAGAAAAACTATACGGTTGAGAATATAAGTTTAGTTATTACTTATTTATTTATCACTAATAATTTAAAAATTTCATTTGGAATATATAATGACTCTGAATTAGAATAAGCATAATTTTATGTATATGTAATAAGATTGAACTTTAATGATACTTTTTATTTCAGAAATACAAGTTTTAAGCTGGAGATGATCATAAATATAATTTTGCAATTTATTATCATTATGATTAGACATCACAGTAATTAGTACTATGTAAAAATCAATAATATTTTAAATGTCAAATTAATAGCATGACTTATTATTCAAGAGTAAAATATATAATAATAATGATAATCTTACTATGGGTTTAAACTGACGAGAAAACAAAATATATCTTTGAATATCTTCAATTGTATAGATTCTTTCAATGGATTCCCCATCTGTACTATGCAGATCAATAATTCTTCTAGCAATTGCATAATCTGTTATCTAAAAATTAAAGTAATTAAAATTTATATTGCTTAAATGTATTTAATTTTTAATTTAATTGATAATGTTAAATTCAAATAAATCTTTATGCAACATAAGAGACAGAATTTTTATATTTAAGTATAATAAGTCTATAACTTTTTATACAATTAATAATATTTTCCACATATATTTACAGCTAACAAATATGAAAAATATAAACATAAGTCAAATCTAGTGAAAATTTTTAAAAGAAAGAAAGAAAAAATAAAAACACACACAAGCTCAACAATCAAATGAAAAATTAACTTTCCAGGAGTGGATTTAGTAATACCAAGAGCTAATCATACTTGTCATTCTTCTTTTACATGTCATGAGTAACATTTAAANAATAGTCTTCGTTAGGCTTAACATTGACGAAAATTCAAGGCGAAGCGACACGCCGAAATATCGATTTTCGGAATAACCCCAGTCCCTAATTGATTCCAATAATCGACGATGTACTGCATTTGGAAACCGATTTCTTCTTAAACCGAAACAAATTTTCCCATAAGAAACAACGTAAAATCTACTTATTCGTACCAGAACATTAAAACAAATTTAGTTTTACATTTTTAGCTGTATTTTATCCATAAAATTGCTTACAAATACAATTTAATATTGTGTATAATATAACATTATCTATAGACACACTAGTGACATAAGCGGTTCCGTTCCTCAACACTGGAAGTTTGGTCATGGGTTTGTGTCTCACCCAGAGGTGATGGTGAAAAAACCCCTATAATGGGCAGGTTTTATTCATGTCTGTAGCGCCTGTATAGGGGCCAAAGTCGACCCACTCAATAACACGGTAGATACGTTCCGTTCTTTATGAATCCAGTTCTACGAGTCCAGCCAATCACAGCCCAGCATGGACTACCGCTGTTTGAAAGGTTTCTTCCATAAAATTAATCGATTCTAGACTAATTTGACTCAACATTTCCAAAATACGTATCATTTTTTGAAAATAATCCATATNCTTTTACATGTCATGAGTAACATTTAAATATTAAATATTTATTTATTACGTATTTAAGAGATAGCATTTGAACTCCTTGCTGACATTGCTAAGTCTACTTCTTGCAAGTAAATTTGTTTGATTATTCCTTTATATCCATACAATGCTTTGTGTAAATATGTATCATGTACTTTATACATACATATGATAATCAGAACAAATTGCATGATTTACTAGGCTGCAATTTTCAACTTGCAGACCTATAGATTCTCACTACTGTTCATCTGTCCTTCCTTAATCTCAGGAACAGAGTTAGATAAATGAAATTCAAGTTCAGATATGGAAAGCTTAGCACAGAGACCCCGATTAACTATATATAAACTTCCAGTTTGGATTGAAAGTCCAAACCGAAAGTTTTGATACAGTTTAATGATTTTTGAAATTATGATTGTCACAATGCCAGGCTGCAATGCCACAATAAGTAATTGCTCGTTTTTGTGCCATACAGTCCATTGTTTTGGTATAATGACTATTTGTTTGACTTCTTTCAACTAATGTTTCTGACATAATAGCATACTGTTGAAGTACAGACAATTTTCTGTTGTTGCAAGTATTCTTTAGAAAAATTAAGTTTTTGGAAACTTTATAATGCCTTCTCCATGTTTTTCCTTTGATTTGGAAGCCATTTTGGTAGACTGCCCACTTCTCAATGCATCAACAATAATATCTTTTTGAAACCATTTCCTGACAGTTTTGCACAATATTCTAAAGAAAAGTATACACAACATTGGCATACTTTTCTGATGGAAAATACAGCTCTCTGAAGGTCTTGAATCTAGCTATGCCTAATGCTTTCAAACTTTACATGACAAAAACACTAATCAGATATCAACATTGTTACAGACCATAAAATAAAGGAAAATTGCAGACACAACAAAAAACTCACATTTATAATGTAGGATAGCACTGAAAATGGGTTGTGCAAAATGCCACTTTTTGCATCTGAACTTTTATTATGCCAAAAATATATCAACAGAAATTAATTGGCAGACACTTTTGCCCTAAATATTGCTTAGAATGTTTTAGAATGTTGCTTAGAATTTTAAAAATGTATGGGTTTCAATAATCCATAAAATAGGAACTGGAGGTTATAAGAAGTTATTATATTATAATTTAGACGCATGTAAAAATTTGTTATTTAATTTAAGTATCTTAATTACTACTTATTGGATGTTAGTTACATTATGCGAATGTCAATTAATGCAGTTTTTATGAATTAATTTCATTTAAATTGAACTGTGATGCAAACTTTGTGTAATTGTCTAATTTAAATTGAAAAGAAACCAGATGAAGTATCTTACTCGCATGCGTATTGAAATTTTCTTTGACTAAAGATATCATCGATGGTTCGTCCCGTAACATCTAAAGACAAAAGGCGGATCTCGGCGTAACTGCTGAATCGGTAGTCTTGTAGTAGACTCGACTTTCTTTAACAGAGGAAGTATAGGATGTTGACCATCGGTGGCCGGCATCGCCGAGTAAATTGCTCGGAAACGGGTTATTTTATGGCAATCGGAGCAAATATGCGTTTAAAATGCTGTTCGAAAACACGAGCATACGTAAACCGAAGGTTTACTGTATTGACTAATATAAATTTTTTTGAAATTTATTGATAGTCTATTAATAGCACATAGACAGTAACTTGATAAAAGTGTAGAAATTCTATTAGTCTTCAATTCAAAAGAATAAATATTTTCTATTTTCAGAGATAACAATGATGAAATAATACGTAAAATATACTCCATTAATTAATTGTCATTAAAAAATTCATCTGTAAAACGAAAAAGAAGTCTTAAACAGTATCCATGAAAGAAGCCGATCGTTTATAATCGATTCACACATAACTTATTAAATGTTGCAAAAATACAAACGTTTCCATAATTTGGCTTTATACCAATTTTACTTATTGCCAATAACGACATTTAACTAATCTCCAAATTACATACCAATCAGAATATGAAATCACATTAATATACTAATTTCTTAGCAATCAGATTAAATTTCGGAAAGTTCAAACTTACCCAAAATATTTTAATAGAAGACGTGAAATGAGTTAATGTCATCATTGTTTATGTGTATATGCTGTATTACATCTTGTGTATATTCTACGATGATCATTGAAGTAAAATATTATAATATTTATCTTCGTTTTTTTTTCTTTTATTAAGTTATGGCAATGAAACACTTGAGTAATGTGTTTAGGCCTCTAGGGGAATGCCTTCCGGAAGGACTTTTTATGTTTTAATAGTAACTGACCCCTATTTAGGTTTAACAGACATGTTGTTGTTGTTAAGTTCCATCGAGTCGTCGTCGACTCCTGGTGACTTCATGAACAAGTTTTTTCCATCTTGATCTTTCCCTTGTTGTCTCTCGTAGCTCCTCCAGCTTCATTTCTGTGACTTTTTCTATTTCTTCTATCCATCTTATCCGTTGCCTTCCCCTCTTCCTTCTACCTTCCACTTTTCCCAGCATAATAGTCTTCTCTAGGGAAACTTCTTTACGCATCACATGTCCAAAGTAGGTCAATTTTTGTTTTAAGATTCTTGACTCTAAGGAGAAGCTTGGCTTAATTTTTTATAAAATTGAGATATTTGTTTTCTTTTCTGTCCATGGAACTCTAAGTAATCTTCTCCATACCCATAATTCGAATGNATAATCCATAAAATAGGAACTGGAGGTTATAAGAAGTTATTATATTATAATTTAGACGCATGTAAAAATTTGTTATTTAATTTTTTTTGATAATATGTAGCATGTGTAGTGACATATTTTATTTTATTTATTTGGTTTATTTATGTAATATACAAAAAGTTGTTAACTTATTTCAAAGATTCAAATCAAAATAAAATTCGAACAAATGGTTCCATTTTGGAACGATAAAGGAAAACCTGAGGATGGCCTATCCAAATAGGCTGAAAACATTTGAATAAAGAGAAAAAACTCGGCAAGTAGAATTCAGGTGTGTTCATATATTATAATTAATATTGCTGAGAAGGAGAGAGAGAGATAGTTACTTGCCTATGTTTAATTCTTCAGTTTCATAGTTCAGTTTTATAATCTTTGTAATCATTATCTGTTTAAATAATAAGACAAAATAAAAATAATAGTGGGGAGTCGTACTTCAAATTTAATTCATTTCAGAAGGCCTTCAAACTCTGAATTACATGAAATCCAAATCAATTTTCCCTATTAGAAATAATGGAAAGTGAAATTAATCTATTCCCAGACCCTAAACAATACACATTTCATTTAATAAATATGAAAATATTATGTATGTACAAAGAAAAACTTTATTTTAACTTTTTACTTAAGTGTATTATTTTGTGAATTTTGACAAGAATGCCAGAGGATGCTGTTTTCCATTTTTACATTTCATTGCAGAGACAGAGCCTCAAAAGAAAGGTCGTCTCTATGTTTGTGAAATTTTGTAGATTGTCACTGGTGTGTTAAAACGACAGATAGGAAACTGAAGCAGTTTTTCTTTGTAGATACATAATATTTTTATATTTATTAAATGTAAATACTGTCGGCCATATTTTAACTTTTTATATGGCTGACAGTATTTACATTTAATAAATTTAAAACCCATTTCAATAAATTTAAACAGAAAATATGCATAATTTAAGACAATTACATGTCCTAAATAATAAATTAAAATATGAAATAAAATAGCAATACATAAATATTGTACTGTATAATAAAATGAAAATTGCATTACTGGCTGCACACCATCAACTTTAGTATCTTTAATATGACTGATAGATATGCCACATGTTTACACTCCTTTCATCTCAATCATTGATACTACAATCTTTTTCTTAGACTTTATTACTTCCATACTCTTCTTGGATGACATGATTAACAGTTAGGATATGTACTGTATAAAACCAAACATACCAAAATTAAAGTGAAAAAAGTACTGAAAAAACAAGAGTGTAATGCAAGAGATGCTTTTACAGCAAGAACAAGCAACAAAATTGCACAGCACAGCAGATGACATTTACATGCTGAGAGCATTTTTTACTGTGCACAGAGTTTAAACTCTGGAACATTCAAAGTTAGAATCATTTGAAGTATGAGTTACCACTGTAATTCTAAAATTATGTTATATAATAAGTAATTTTTAAAACTTTTTTTAATACAAAATATAAAATGAATATACACGGAGAAAGTGGAAACATTGTACTGGAATGGTGTACTATGTAGTCATGAGTGCATCATGCAATTCCTGTATATTTGATAAATGTATGGACCAGCTATAAACAGTCCTTTCTAACATATTCCAAAGATGTTCAATAAGAATTAGATTTTGGTACTGAGCAGATCACTGCAGCAAAATCATTGTCATATTCCTGGAACCATTCCATAGTGATTTGGGCTTTGTGTGATGGTGCATTATCCTGAAAAACTCTCAACATGAGAAGATGCACCGAGTCAGTAATGATATTTAGGTACTATGTGGTATTCAGACACAAAGCTATCAGTATCAAGGGACTCAATGCATGCCAGGAAAACATCCATGTAACATTAAACAAATTACAACAACTTGCACAATTGTCACCTGACAGGAAGGTTCCATGAATACATGTTTCTGACAAATTTCTGGAAAACAGTAACTTTGACTTGTCAAACCAAGCAACTTTTTTCTAATCCTTGATGATAGACCAGAGCTGGTGTTGTTGTGCCCACAGGAGGCATTCTCTTGTCATTTATTGATGGCAATGGACCAAACTGGCCATCAGCTGTAATAGCCCATTCATGACAAGATGCGATTAGTGGTCATGTGAGATAATTTATTATGCCCATCAAGGTGGAAATCAGAAGTGATTTGTAAAATTGTAACCTGTTTGTTTGCTTGTACAGATAGGCCACAATTCTCCTCCAATCTATCTCATCAACAAGTGGTTTTGTTCTACAGGAGTGCCAATGACAATGTTTTTTTCTTTGTTGCACCTCAATACACCCTTGAAACTGTGGTGTGTGAAAAGCTCAAAAACGTTGCCATTTTAAAAATACTTTGTCCAGCACCCATCATGCCTCATTCAAAGTCTGTTAGATCCTTTGTTTTCCCATTGTTAATATGAATGTATGCTTGACTATGTTAGAAAGGTTGTTCTGTTGCATTTATAAAAAAAAGCTGTGCTCATGTGATTTACAAATTAATAGGGCATCTGATTGTGTGGAAGCAAGAGGTACCTAATAAAGTGATGTCTCAGTTTATAAAACAAATTAATTAAACATTAGAAGTTCATTTTAGGGCTGTGGAGTTACATAAAAATCTACCAACTCCAACTTTTCCCTACCATCCGACTCCAACCAGGGACGGACTTGTTACTGAAAGAGACCCTAAAATTCTGATGTCATCATGTGACCTCAGAATAAAAGATTCAATAAATAGAGTTCTAATAAAGATAGAGCATAGAAACTTTTTATTCCAAAGCTAAAAGACTTTTCTAAGTAATATATAAATATGTATTCGATAATTTTTACTTTTCCAGCTGTTATATATAACAGAGGAAACATGTAGTGCTCAGTCAAAAAATGACCCCTCCCAAATTTTTATATTTTAGACTCAGAACACCTTGAAATTTTGAGATATGCAAAAGATTCAAGGTTTTTTTCTATATGTGTGCATGTTAGACTGTGTGTGGGGGCATGATTTTGTTCACTTTGTTTGAAAGCCTAATAATTTCTGTGGTCATAGTGGTCAGAATCGGAGTCAGATGGTTTAACACAGGAGTAGGTTATTAAGCGTCAAAGTGGTTGAACTAAATCATGNGAGTATTTTAGCATGTTTGTACGAATACTGTTGCGATTTTTTCGTTGTGATGTAGGAATCCGAACTATAGGAACTCGTGTTATAGGGGGGTCGACTAAATAAGCAAATCGATAAAGATGGAGAACAAGTTCTTTATCTATACTCCTTTCAATATATATTTTAATTTTAATTATGTATTTCCGGGACCGTGGCTTTATTTGTTTTTTCTTTACTACTAGGTGCATTAATAGACACAAGGCATTTTACATAATCTTAATTAAACTTCCATAGGCCGATACGATGCATTAATGCTGACGGATTTCATAGGCCGACAGATGAAAGGTAAAGGCCTGTCATCCGTTCACATTTCATCCGAACTTTTCTTTAGGTTGCTTTGTTACATATATATTTTTTCGTTTGAAATATTAAATACATAATTTTAATAAAGATGATGTAAAATGCCTTGTGTCTATTACTGCACCTAGTAGTGAAGAAAAAAACATAATTTTAATTTTAGTTTCAGTTTCGGTGTAAAGAGTGTTAAATTAATACTTATTTAATTATTTTTAGTTTCGATTAATTGACTACCTATTAATAATAAATATTAAATTAAATATTAATACTATAATATGTGATATTAATAAAAATTTGTTATTTAATTTAAGTATCTTAATTACTACTTATTGGATGTTAGTTACATTATGCGAATGTCAATTAATGCAGTTTTTATGAATTAATTTCATTTAAATTGAACTGTGATGCAAACTTTGTGTAATTGTCTAATTTAAATTGAAAAGAAACCAGATGAAGTATCTTACTCGCATGCGTATTGAAATTTTCTTTGACTAAAGATATCATCGATGGTTCGTCCCGTAACATCTAAAGACAAAAGGCGGATCTCGGCGTAACTGCTGAATCGGTAGTCTTGTAGTAGACTCGACTTTCTTTAACAGAGGAAGTATAGGATGTTGACCATCGGTGGCCGGCATCGCCGAGTAAATTGCTCGGAAACGGGTTATTTTATGGCAATCGGAGCAAATATGCGTTTAAAATGCTGTTCGAAAACACGAGCATACGTAAACCGAAGGTTTACTGTATTGACTAATATAAATTTTTTTGAAATTTATTGATAGTCTATTAATAGCACATAGACAGTAACTTGATAAAAGTGTAGAAATTCTATTAGTCTTCAATTCAAAAGAATAAATATTTTCTATTTTCAGAGATAACAATGATGAAATAATACGTAAAATATACTCCATTAATTAATTGTCATTAAAAAATTCATCTGTAAAACGAAAAAGAAGTCTTAAACAGTATCCATGAAAGAAGCCGATCGTTTATAATCGATTCACACATAACTTATTAAATGTTGCAAAAATACAAACGTTTCCATAATTTGGCTTTATACCAATTTTACTTATTGCCAATAACGACATTTAACTAATCTCCAAATTACATACCAATCAGAATATGAAATCACATTAATATACTAATTTCTTAGCAATCAGATTAAATTTCGGAAAGTTCAAACTTACCCAAAATATTTTAATAGAAGACGTGAAATGAGTTAATGTCATCATTGTTTATGTGTATATGCTGTATTACATCTTGTGTATATTCTACGATGATCATTGAAGTAAAATATTATAATATTTATCTTCGTTTTTTTTTCTTTTATTAAGTTATGGCAATGAAACACTTGAGTAATGTGTTTAGGCCTCTAGGGGAATGCCTTCCGGAAGGACTTTTTATGTTTTAATAGTAACTGACCCCTATTTAGGTTTAACAGACATGTTGTTGTTGTTAAGTTCCATCGAGTCGTCGTCGACTCCTGGTGACTTCATGAACAAGTTTTTTCCATCTTGATCTTTCCCTTGTTGTCTCTCGTAGCTCCTCCAGCTTCATTTCTGTGACTTTTTCTATTTCTTCTATCCATCTTATCCGTTGCCTTCCCCTCTTTCTTCTACCTTCCACTTTTCCCAGCATAATAGTCTTCTCTAGGGAAACTTCTTTACGCATCACATGTCCAAAGTAGGTCAATTTTTGTTTTAAGATTCTTGACTCTAAGGAGAAGCTTGGCTTAATTTTTTCTAAAATTGAGATATTTGTTTTCTTTTCTGTCCATGGAACTCTAAGTAATCTTCTCCATACCCATAATTCGAATGCATCTATCATTTTTCTTTCCTTTTTCCTTAGAGTCCAGCTTTCACAGCCATATAATGTTACAGGGAAAACCATTGCTTCTACAATTCTTTTCTTAGTATGAATGGAAATGTCTTTATCTTTCATTATCTTGGTGAGATTTGCCATGGCTGTTCTGCCAAGATTAATTCTCCTCCTGATTTCTCCTTCACAACTTCCATTCCTTTCTATCTTTGAGCCCAAAAGTATGTAACTTTCTACCACTTCAATTCTTTCACCATCCACAATGAAATCTTTTAACTCTTTAGTTGACATTACTTTAGTTTTCTTTACATTTAGCTTCAAACCAAATTTAGCACTTTCTTCTTTTACCCTTATGATAAGTTTTTCTAAATCTGCTTTGCTTTCTGTCAAAAGGGTGGTATCATCTGCATATCTTATATTATTAATAGTTTCGCCTCCAATCTTGATACCAATGGACTCTTCATTTGTAGTAACCATTCTCATGATATATTCAGTATATAAGTTAAACAGATATGGAGACAAAATGCAGCCTTGTCGCACCCCATTCTCAATTTTAAAGCATTCAGTTTCTCCGTATAGAGTTTTTACTTTTGCCTCTTGTTCATTGTAAAGACTCATCAATAAAGATATAAAGTGTTCAGGAATTCCCATGCTCCTGAGTACTTTCCATAGCTTGGAGTGATCCACACAATCGAATGCTTTACTATAGTCTATAAAACAAAAGAAGGCGTCCTTCTGGTACTCTTTTGCCTTTTCTAAAATCCATCTGATGTTGCTAATTTGATCGCGAGTTCCTCTTCCCTTTCTAAATCCAGCCTGTTCCAGTGGTAATTCTCTTTTTAAATATGGCTCAATTCTCTTCTGTATTATTTTTAACAGAATCATACTTGCATGGGGAATTAGTGCGATTGTTCTATAGTTGGAACATTCTCTTGCATTGCCATTTTTTGGGATTGGTATAAAAATGGATTCCTTCCACTCCTTTGGCCAAACCTTCTTTTCCCATATTTGTTGGCATAACTTTGTTAGTATCTTAATTCCTTCCTCCCCAGCTGCTTTGAGCAGTTCCACTGGAATTCCGTCAGTTCCTGCTGCTTTCCCAATTGAAATTTGGTTGATTGCCCATTCCACTTCTTCCTTCAAAATTGATGGTTCCAAAGTAAAATTTCTTCCTTCAATTATTTCTTCTATATTATTATATGCTTTATAAAGTTGTTCTGTATATTCTTTCCATCTTCTCTTTATTTCACTTTCTTCCATTAAATCCTTTCCATGTGTGTTCTTTAAAATACCAAGCCTAGAAGTAAATTTTCCAACGACCTCTTTAATTTTTTTGAAGAGATCCCTTGTACGTGCTTTTGCATTATTTAATTCAACTTCTTTGCATTTATTATTAAAATCTTCTTCTTTATCCTTCCTTGCCTGTCTTTGGAACTCTGCAGTTAATTTTTTAATTGTTTGACGATCTCCTATAATTTTCATTTGTTTCCGAGTGTTTGCAATTTCTAAAGATTTGTGTGACAGCCAAGGCGTTTTCTTATTTTCTTTCTTCTTTCCTATGCATTTATCAGCAGTATGTTTAATGGTGTTTTTTAAAGACTCCCATACTTTATCAGGTTTTTTCCTGATGTATTAATTGTTTTGAGACCTTCTTTTATTTCTGAGATGTAAGATGGGGCGATATCTGTAGCATAACATCCCATTATTTCACTTCCTTTTTTCGTAGCTTTTAAATGGAATGATATTTTTGATATAAGGAGTTTATGATCAGTCCCACAGTCAGCACCCGGTCTGGTACATGCTGATTTAATTGCATTCCTCCATCTCTTGCTACCTATTATATAATCAATCTGATTTTTATAATTTCCATCTGGTGATGTCCATGCATATAGTCTTCGTTTATGTAATTGGAAATATGTATTTGTAATAAAGAGGTTATTTGAAATGCAGAATTCCACTAGACGTATCCCAGCATCATTTCTTTTCTCAAGACCATATCTTCCAACATGTCCTGGAGTCTCTTCTTTTCCTACTTTTGCATTCCAATCACCAAGAATAAAGAGTGCATATTTTTTGGTAAATTATTAACTGTTTCTTGAAGCTTTTCATAAAACCCTTCAATTTCTTCTTCTGTCGCTTCTATAGTAGGAGCATAAACTTGAATGATTGACAGATTGACTGGTTTTCCCTGCATCCTCAAGACTATGATTCTGTCACTAACTGGTTTATAACCCAAAATAAAATTTACTAAATTCTTTTTTACAATTAGAATCACTCCATTTTTTTAAGTTATCATGTCCAGAATAGAAGATCCTAAAATCATTTGAATCAAAGTGTCCCATTCCTATCCAATTAAGCTCACTGACTCCTAACACTTCTATTTTTATTCTTGTCATTTCACTTTTAATTATGTTTAGTTTTCCAGCATACATGCTTCTTACATTCCATGTTGCAAATATGTGTTGTTTGAAGAAACTTGGAACTTTCTTTTCGTGTTTGACTGCATCAATGATTAAACTCCCTTTCAGCTTTGACTTAATCATGCCATTATGTTCAATCTTAGTCAGTGAAGTTCCTTGTTCATCCCCAGTAGAAGTTAGAGTGCTTTCGAACCTGAAGGTCTCATCCTCCAACACTATATCTCTATTATGAAATTCCTTGTCCATGTAGTTTTCTTGGCAAGAGTTGAGGAAGTGGTTTGCCATTGCCTTCTTCCTTATTATTTCGATTACAAGTGATAAAATCGCTATTCACCCAAGTTTCCAGCTACTTTATAAGAGTAAAGTCAATGACCGTTTCTATGGCTACGCCATAGAACACATTTTGAAGGTTAAGAAAATTTGATGGAACGGCCATAATTCAAAAACTATAAGGTGTATCGAGATGATATTTAGCACAAAATTAACATTTAATGTCCTCTCATAAAAAACCGAATATTTTTCGGAAATAACTAGCAGGAAGCCCACAATGACTTGTCGAATTTTTACCGAAAGTTGTTGAAATTTTCAAAACTGTTACTCCTACAATTTTAAAAATCGGCAAAGGTACTTACAGCACAGATATGATTCAAACACCGTGAAGCCCGTCAGGCTGTTTGCCGGCATAATTAGAAATTTATCGCTAAGTTCGAATATCTTTCCAGACGTCATAACTTTTCAACGAAGTATCCAATTTCAAAAACCTACACACCGATAGAACCCTCTTGACTTCCTATTTAAAAAACTGTATAAAACTTGTCACTTTACTTAATATTTAGTATTAGAATTAAATCCAAAACAGAGCTAAAAATCCTGCTGCTTCTATTCCGCTTTTCAATTCGAATTAACAGACACAGAAAACCTGATAACTTGAGTGGCCAGCCTGTCCGATGTCGTCGCGAACCTACAACCGACAGCCCTGTGTTTAGGGATAGAAACTGCTTGGCCACTTTTCGTAATTGTAACTCATATTATCCAATATAGAAACGAATTGTAAAATACATTTACTACAGAGTATGCATATACTTTTTCAGGATCCTATGTTATTTACCGGGCCACTTCGAAGAAACATGGATCCTTTCAATGAATATTCTGAAGAAATGCTGTGGAAAGCCATAGAGGAGGTTACAATTAAATTAATATTGTTCAATTTACTTTTAGATTTTTCTTTTTAAACGTTTTTCTGTTTAAATTCAATTTACACATATTTATTTTTATAAATATTTGAATTATAGGTACAATTGAAAGAAGTTATTATTAAATTACCTGGAGGATTGGATTCGCATTTAACAGAAGGAGGGCGAAATTTCAGCGTGGGGGAAAGACAGTTAATTTGTCTTGCCAGAACCATTCTTCGCCAGAATAAAATTCTTGTCATGGACGAAGCAACGTCCAATATTGATAAAAGGTTAGATTATTAAAAATGTTACACAATTTCAAGTATTAATCATTCAGTTTTGTAATTCGTGTTATATAGAGAATAGTTATGGGTACAAGTTTGGTATAAGTAAAATTGTATGATATTCACGATGACTACATTGCCATTAAGCCACCAATAAAATAATTGATTTGCATGATGACTAAACTTACAATCAATCGCTCTGGACATCTGGATCCAAATTCTAATGAATCATCTCAAATATAGTGTGGATATGTTTAAAGTATATTTTATCTTGTTTCTCATCTTTTGTTTTTCCCAATTTTGTGTTTGAAGTAATGAGGATAAGTACGGGAGAAAAACGTTTTTTGTGTCTACATGCCAAACTGTCTGTATTTAATATATGTATTAATATTATGAATTGTATATATGAAAATGGTAATAGAAAAAGTCTTGCGTTGTCAACATGGCAAACTGCATGGTGTATGTAAACGTCTTCGCTTTTTCTACTTAATAAATTTACTTTATATCTGTGAGAACCGAGGGGGTATAGCGCCGAGCTTCTCCCCACTTATAAGCTTCTTTGTCAGGGATGTTCGATATGTTAAAGAATAGGAGGGTGAGCGAAATCGTAACAAGGTGTCGGTCGTACTGAAGGATGACACATAATTATATATATAAGAATAACATATTTAATTATGTAAAGCTATACAAACGATTACAAATCAAAAAGCGACAAAAATGGAATAATACAAAAATACTTTTAAGTCGTCTAATTATCTAACTCTATAAGACATAATACTGTCTAAGTTCAAGCTATGATCGAGAGAGAGACGAGGAACGAGAGAGAGAAGATAAAATTTTCTCTATGTGATTACCTCTCTGGTTCTCGATCTCGTCAAATGGGCGATGATAAGAAATGTTTCCGGATCGGCGGACTCTACTCGTAATCTCCATTCTCCTCAGATCTGGTTCATTGGGGATTATGGTGGGAATGCAAGGATTGCGACAGATGAAATGGCAGTATGGGTCTAGTGTCTATCTGATGTCCACTGGTGATGTCCGCTGTGGGTGTTTGCCTGGCTGTATCCGCTCAGCTGTGTCTGCCCAGAGGTGCAAATGCGACCCCTCTTTATACACATCCCGGAGGGAGAATTATCGGGGAAAATCTAATGCAATCGTATGTAAGTTCGACTTGCATCAAGATTTATTACAGTTTCTACCCATTATTGTGACACTTTCTCATCATAAGTTTGACAACAGCTATCAAACCTACAGAATTACTTGCCAGAAATGGCTATGGTCAGAATATCTGCAAGGCCACCTGGGTGATGATTGTGTAGTTGTGATTCATTTGATATATTTTCTTATCGTTTTAATCGGCTAGCATAAGGAAATTGCGTGGTTAATTCAGTACGGTCAACCCTTGTAGTTGATCTTTTCGCTTCACTCTAGCACTTAAATGGTGGAGGTTCTTGTTAATTGGCTACTTAATTGTATTTATTGTAACGGAGATGGAAATGGAAAATAACCCGTGGTGAGGAGAGAACTTCCTCGGTCGTCTTGAACGTCTTTGAAAATCTAGAAGGTCACCTCTCGAGGCGATGCAATACGCTGATGGGTGAAAAGGTCTGAATTCAACCTACAGGAAAGGTGAAACTGGAGGAAGAAAATAAATTCTGATGAAAAAAATTTTATAATGTTTTAAGCTTTTAAAACTCCGAAAAGAGTCCAACTTCTCACATATCTAATTTTATTTAAAATTTGGTATATTGCAATGCAAATATTTCTAGAAATTTTTCAACAAAAACACAGTTGAGTAGTCAAGTATGGAAAATATCGAAAAGATGTAAGAAGAAATCTAGTTGCAAAACCAACGAAAATAAGCATGTCTCAGAATGATTAAATTAACTTTTATGTAATTTCTGTGTCAAAACTTTTAGATTACAGTGATAGATAAAATCGCCTTGTTTTCATAAACACCTGCATAATCAAAACCACTTTGGCAATGTCATGAAAGTTTCCAGTGATCTCTGATAGTAGAAATAACATTAAATGCCTTTTTCATTTATCAAATCTCTTATGAAAAGTAGCTGTTGGGCTGTCAGTATTCATTTCGAGAAAACCCTGAATAAGGTCGATCTTCGTAGATATGGGTTCGACATGCAGCACATCAAAGAAATCTTGTATATATAGTTGCAATTAGTATGATTCCTATTTTGGCATTGCTTGCCACCTATTTTTCAACAAGTCTGACTGTCGACCTGTATGTAAATTTCCAGGTAGTCTATCACTTGGCCATACATTTCTGAAAAGTGTAAAGTTGGGGTAACTACGGCGTTAAAATCAGTAGTTGAAAACCCTGTTACATATCGTATAACTATAGAAACTGTATGAATCATCTAAAATATAAATTTTCGTCTACAAGTACGTATCTTCTAATATCGGGACATATTATACATTTAAGTTATTTTTTAAATATTTTTCTAACATCTATTAATGGTCTATATTTTACAGGATTTTTGTGTTTTTACCCTTATGTTGAAGTTTGGTGTTCTATTATCTTCTTTCTTGACATATCTGATGTCTTCTGTTATGTGTAGTTTTGTTTTCAAACTTTTCAATTCCTTGTCTAATAATTCTATAAGATCATTCACTGGATCATTCTTCAGTTCTTTATAATTTCCTTCGTCAATTAATACTCTGATCACTTCTGTTTTTTCTTCTTCCTTCATTATTATTATTTGTTTCGTTTTGTCACCTTGAAGTATTTCTAAATTATTATTACTTAAAAACGTTTTAAGATTATTTAATTGTTTCTTATAATTATTAATTTTATTCCTTGTTTTTTTATTTAGTTTTTTTTTGTTATTATTTCATGCATACCTTTTCTTATACCTTCTCTTTTTCCTTTTGGAAAGTTTCATAACAAATGTTCTGTTATCACAACAAATTCTTGAATTTTCAACATTTCTGGTCCATTGTAGTTCATTCCCACTTTTAGTGTTCTTTGGATTAGTCCTGGAATTTTTACGTTCGTCATATTGAAAATTAATTGTCTTTCATAATCTTCTCTTTTTTTCAGAGTCAGATAACCTATCTTCTTAAGTAATTTATTGTATTTATTTAAAAAGGACTTACCAGTAGATTCATTTTTTGTTTGTTCTTTGATTCTTTTGTTTTTCCTCTGTAAGTTCTTTAGTTTATACTTTTTATGATTAATATTAGAAGTTATTATTAATTTGTTTATTTTTTCTACATCATGTCTTTGTAAGTTCCTACTAATACTCACCGGTATACTTAATGTTGGTAACTTTATGTCTTCTATTTTGCATTTTTTCAAATACCATATTTGTATCTATGAATGTTTGAACCATCTTCTCAGAAACATGATTAGATATAGTTATTTCATGCAAACATTAATTAATGGAAGAAAACAGTCTTTTTAAAAACGTACATCGACATATTTGTATAAAGGCATCAATGCAGAAGACGTTCAATGGACGCAATACTTTACAGGGCAGCCGCTATATATTACAATGAAAGGGAATGATTCTTTGATAATGTAATCATTGTTGTAACAGTTATCACTGTAATAATTTTTTGCTGTTGTGAAGAACTGCTACTAAATAATCAGGCTAACGTATATAATGCCGACCATATTTGTATGCAACATGTGCAAAATTATCTAATTATTTTTCTTCAAAATAAAGTATTATAAAGTCAATTCAAGTATTATAAATCACTGAAGCAAAAGAACAATTGCATTGTCTTTAAATCACTCACGATTATTTCATTATGTATGGAGGGCAGAATTGTCTTGCTAAAAATTTGTTTTTTCCTGTTAATGATTGCAACTCAGCAGCAGATAAAGATCTGCTACTGAGTTTTAATTGTACATTCACACTTAGTGAAGAATAGCAATGACTTTAGGCTTACAGAAGCATAATAATAAATTTGCTAACACGTTTTTTAAGCATGAACTACACTACTGGAAATTGAAAGTGTTACACCCAGATGGATTTAGTGGAAATTCACGAAACTTGGTAAACATGTACAGGGCATACCCAGAAGAAATGAACACAAAATGAAATGAATTAAGCAAGGTTTTATTGCTGTTGGGTACATGTTTCAGTAAGTGGTATTCCCACCTTGATCATGGATACACTCTTGGATCCTTGCAGGCATTGAATCAATAAGTGCTTGAATGTCTTGTTGGGATATGTGTCTCCATGCCTGCACAACTTGTGCAGTCAGTTGTACAGTGCGCGCTAGATGGCTATGAGATATAATCCATCTACCATGGCATTACAGACATGCTCTATAGGGCAGTGTTCCGCAACCTTTTTCTACTTGCGGCACACCCATGACTCAACACGGCACACCAAAATGTTATTCCCCTCAAAAACGTATGATATGATACTATTAATAGAATTACATAATGCCACTAACCTATTACTATTGTTATTAAACAGATACCAACACCTGTGAGCAAATTTTCTTTACATATAATTTATTAGAATACACAAAAATGGGTAGCTTGTAATAAAGAATAAACAAACATCATCTTATTTCATCAGTGTTGCGGCAGAGAATGAAATACATACAAAAGATAACATAAGAAACACAACAACATACATACATAAGAACATACAACATACATACATAAGAAACACAACAACTGTGATAAAAATATATAAATAAAATTTGAAATTAACAGAATATGTAAAAGTTCACGTCACACCTGTCACCATGTGACGGCACATCAGTGTGCCGCGGCACACCGGTTGCGGAACACTGCTATAGGGGATAGAGCATGTCTGTAATCTGCAGTAAGTTTGCTAAGTATAGTTTGTATGTATTAGACTAATGTGGCTTTAAACTTTTGTGTAGTGTGAAAATTATTTATCAGCAACATATATCATTTATTACTGTATTATGGTTAACAACACTAATCTTAACTCCTTCAAGTGTAATTATTATAAGATAATTGCTGCTTTACTGCAATTAGTAACTTACTTAAAATGAAAATAAACTTAACTTTATACTTTCCTCAAGAAATCTGTTTTGATATTGGATTTACTGACATTCACCACCATAAACGTGATTTAACCCTGTCCATCTGATTTAGATGCAGGTTAATTTTCTTAACTATATATGTTCAATTTGGTGTGAATTTTCATGGGTGCAGCTTTGTCTTCGTCTTGAGATGGAAAACATTTGATGCCGGATAGTACACAACAACGATATCGACTAATTGACTAGTGAGCTATCGATTAGATTGGTATTTTTACAAATGCATGTATTTTCTTATCATGGCTTAAAGTTGCACTTTCCCACTTGATGCTATTTTCTCGATAGTTTTCCAGCTGAGAAAAAAAAAAAAAACAAAATTACTGACAAAATTTGACATTTTATTCAAAGGTTTTACAATGTCGACTGTGTGTTTCAATTTTTTTATCCTTTAATTTCCTCACATGTTGATATGGATTAGTAATGCATTTTTTCACTTACTCTTTTCCAGGGTTCACTTATTCTTTGCTTGTTTTCCCTATTATAATTTAAATTGTTTCTGATACATTTCAATATGGAGAAACCGTTTTATTTATTTTAATTATTATTTATTTTTTTATTTTATATAAAGAACCGATTCCTGTCTACAGAAAATAATTCGAGAAAAATTCGAATCTTGTACGGTGTTGACAATAGCCCACAGATTACATACAATTATTGATTCGGATAGAGTTTTGGTAAGATTCTTCTTTTGAATAATATAAAAATAAATACCTGTTAGACATTAATTAGACATTTTAAATTTCTAGGTATTAGATACAGGAAGAGTACAAGACTTTGACTCGCCGTATGCGTTACTGAAAAACGTAAATGGTATATTTTATAATTTAGTAAAGAAGACAGGAGTAACTTCAATGAATGAATTATACGAAATTGCCAAAGCTAAATATTACGCTAAAGAGAGGGTCGAGCAAACAAAACTATGAAACAGTGGATCTTATTTTATGCATAGACTGGGTGGATCCGTTGTTATGGATTTTTTATTTTGTTTAGTTTTTAGAGTGGTATTTCCGCACATCACATAACACATAAAATTGTAAAAATCTGAACATTTGTTAGTACCCGTATATGCAAGTTTCACAGTTCAATTTATACATGCTGATCTTTTATTGAGATGCCATCAGCAGTTTTTGAGATAATATAATGAGTAATGTTTACAATGATCTAATTTCAGGAAAGAAGAACATTTTATTGTATTAAACAACAGAAATAGATTTAACTGAAATAATTAAAACAAAAATTTTGTGTACTAGTTTAATCAGATCAATCTCAGTCAAAAATATAATTCTAATTGTAAGTACAGTAGAGCATCGATTATCCGACTGATTTGGGGACTCAGGTTGATCGGATAACTAAAAAAATCGGAAAACCGAAAAAAAAATGAAAAAAATTCATTATTAATATAGTATATTAGTATATCCCATGTAATTAGTATATCGCTATTAATCAACTTCGCGTTGAATTGTCATCTAACAAATTTTTCTCTTTAAATAATAATCGTCTCTATTGTATCGGTAAAAATTACTATGAAATTATTTTATTGCTCACAAAACAAACAACCACTCATAATTAGAAAATTAAGTCTCGTTTAAATACTGGCTTCCCTTTAATGGTCGAGCCAATGTTGCCAGCTAAAACACGCTAAAATTTAACAAAAATAATATTAAAGTAGCCAAGGCATAGCTAAATACTTTAGTGCCACATCGCTAGCGGACATTTGAAATTTGCGAACTAGAACTGTCGGTTAACCGATGTGACGGTTAATCGGGGGTCGGATAATCGATGCTCTACTGTATGTATTTTTGAAAAATTTAGTTTACAGTAATAATTAAAAAAATTATATGAAAAAAATGTTTTTGCATTCGTATTATCTCCTTTCTTGTGTCTAATATTGAATCCATGTTTTATTAAAACTGGTATAAATTCATTGTATTCCATTCGGTTTAAGAGGAGAAATAGAAAATTTTCAGGCTTGCAATAACGTAGTCGTAGACATTTGATACACTTTGGGGATATTTTATTTTATAAGCTTACATCTATCATTTCACAAAGAATGTTACAAATGTCATAAAGTATATTGACTAATAAACTATGTAAATTATCCAAAACATATTTCTAATTTAGATTTTGATATTTTAAGACCTGACACCAAGAAAGGTAGTCTATGAAATAATGAATAAAATCTTCGTTCAGTATATAATAATAGAAAACTAAATTTTAATGTAGATAATAATTTAGCTTATGTATAGTGTCTTTTTTAATCGTTCTTATTTCAAAGCAGAACTCGTGTCTGATTTTTCGTATATACTTTTTAACTAATTTATTCCAATCGAGATATTTTGAAAAATTACTAATGAATTTTTTAAATCTAATACTTTATATTCTGCAATTAAATGTTATTTTCCATGCCCAATATGTTTTTCGATGAATTAACTACAAATATAAATTTTTCCATATTAATTCCCAATTTAAATTACTTGAAAATTCAAAAATGTACTCAGAAGTTAAGTCAGTTCTTTGTCTTATAACATCCCACTTAACGTAGTTTTTGATAAATAAAATACTATTTTCCTCTATTGGTAAACTTGATTTTTTCCTAAACAATTGATATCATCTGTTTGTATTCGGTAAGAAAAAATTACATTAAGATACACGTGTTTTTATTTTTTATACGCATAACATATAGCACACATTTTCATAGATGATACACCACTTTTTTCCAAATTACGAGGTACAATAATGTTGATTAATTTTTTAATACGATTTCTAAGAAAATGGTTATTTATTACAATGAATACAATTAAATTTTTTAAAATTTAAAGTACATTAAAATTGCCACAAAATAAAAAATACGAATGTATTTTTTGTAGTAAGTAGTAAGATAACAATTCTATTGTGCGCTAAAAATTTCTGAAATTTCTGCAGACAATTCGATTGGATGTTCACTTATATATGCACTCTTTGAAAATTTTTCTGTTATAAATCTTAATATATCTTTCGTTTTTGGAGGGGTTTTGGTTTTGGAAAAATGTTTAATTTTTTTTTAAATTGTACCAAAATTCGTGCTTTCGATAAAACAAACAGCAGGTAATGCAATTTCTCTATATCACATTATCACATTCGCTACGAAATTATGTCTACTATGGGACTTTCAAAAACATGTTTACCATTGATTGTTAATTTGCCTTTAGAATTTTATCTGTAAAGACTTCGATTCGACATATCAATTAAATATAAAGTATAATTAAGGTAGTAATAAAAATTTATGTATAATAAATCTAACATCAACAGTTTGCTTTTCAGGTTAAGATTTTGTTTTTTCAATTTTGTCAGATACAACAGATACTCTAACAGAATTTAGGAGAATGAATAGTGCTCTCATATCTTCAAATCAATGGACTTGGCTTTACCATCATCGGGTAAATTAGTGCTCTCGAATAATTCTTCGATATTACAACCAATTCGTATTTCTGGCTTTTAATAACTCATCGGTAATTCGTAAGAAATTCAAGCCATCTACTTCGCCATTAGATTCTTTTTCTGATTGCCTTATCAATCAAACTACCTGACATAGGAAATTTCAGATTCAACAGAAAGGGTAGAAACACTATACCGGATTGATTTACCAAAAACCTCTGTTTAGTATTTAAAGGAATATTTATCCCACTCAATTTCCTGATTACATTTTCATATTTACATAATTTGCAAACGTTAGCCGATATGTTTCCTCTCAACAAATTACCACATATTTCCCGCAAAACTTTGATTTGATTAGGAGGAGCTTTTTTCTGTATTGCTCTGCTCTGTAGCAGTGTACTCTTTCCCGAATTTCACCGCTTATGTATAATGGGGCAAAAGGTCACAACGTTGTCAGTCCTGACGTGGCATCGCCCACGATGTGCCGACCCTTCGGTCACACGACTTATCGCAGGAATACCTTTAATTTGAGTGTATCAACTAGTTTTGTAACTAAAATTTCTTTTATTATCAATTCAACTAATTCTATAGTCTAACCCAAACATTGTTTACTTTGTAGTGCATTAATTATCATATTGGTATTTGTACTTCTAAAGGATATTGTAATGTTAGCGCAGTCAGCATACACTATTTTTTTTTATCTAATTGAAAAGAGATAGTTTAGACGAAATGCATTTCGGTTGGGTTAATTAGAAACACTGGAAATTTATGTAATAAGCTTGTTCCATAGCCCTAAGAAACTATAGGCCTATACTTATAATTAACTAGCTGTTACCCGCGGCATTGCCCGCGAGGATTTTGTAAGCAAACCCTATTTATATTCAGTATTTCAATAACCACAGTATTTGTTATATAACACCCACCGCTGAGAATGATGAAAATTGCAGAGAATCAAACGAACTATTTTCAATTTGATCAATTTTTTGAAACGTTTACAATCATTGTATAATCGAACCAATATGCAATAACAAATTCGATTTGAAAAGTACTCTATGAAAATTAAACGTAGTTGAAAACGAAACTTCGCATCGAAGATAGTACAGTAGAAGCCGTTCTTCCGGTTAAGCCTTAATTTTCTCCCTCTCCCCCCGCTGGAGAATTTCGACAAACCCCTTCTTAGTGCGCGTTTTTTTGACGAACCCTAACTGTGTACCAAATTTCACCTCTTTAGGTTCAGCAGTTTGCTCTGGGCGATGATGAATCAGTGAGTGAGTCATTCAGTCAGTCAGTCAGTCAGGACTAGTAATTTTATATATTTAGGTTAATACAGGCAAGACGAATTTTAATATAGTACATATTGTTGTTATTAATAATCAGAATACTTAAATGTACAATTAAATATTAATAATCAAACAACAATTATTTGGAGATGAGAAACAAATACCTGTTTCATATGTACTGTACAATATATATCAATATATATTAACATTCTTAATTAATATTTACTTACAGTAAGTGAAGATACAAGATACCAAAAAAACCAAAAAATAAATATGCCAACGACTTATTTACTATAATTTTAATTAACTGTGACATATTTTGCAGGATGAAATAAAATTTAATAGCCTATCTTAACCTTATTATTAATAAATTTACATAATTAATTAATGAATTAAAAGTATAAGCTGAAAATGATATTATGAAGTAACTCTTGCATTCAAGTGTTTCATTCTCGTACATCCGATAAACATTTCAAACTCATCCTTGATGGCAAAGACATGTGCTGTTTATATACAAAGCGATTCATTGCCAAAAACTGCAAAAGTAGCTTCATTTCACCAGGGATATAAAGTTTTAGAAACTAGATTATACATGAAACAAATAGGAAAAACTAGCAGACACGAAAGAACAAAAATCACTGATAGCAACGATGTCGCTAGCTTTTATATGCAAAAAGGGCTATCGCCTGTGCCCCCTCCAATAGGCAGACCTTAATTAATATTTTTCGAAAAATTTCCTCTTAAAAAACTTCTAAAGAAACCATAATACATTGGACATCTATTCAAAATTTGTCTGGCCACTCATACAGCTATAACGCGCTACTGGATGGCAAAAGAAAACAAACTGTAAGAGGAAGATCCCAGAAAAGTTAACAAACGCTTAGAAAATTGAGAGTAATTGTGAAAATTTCATAAAGACATATTCTAGATCTTGGTTCCTTGCTATTCTCTTCACTATATGTATTTTCTTAGCATAATGTTGCCGTTGAGAACAAATCACACAGGAACACTTCCATTAGAAAAAGGTTGGTTTATTGGTAAGAACAGATATGCATTTCGTGCTTAAAGCCTTTCCTCAGTCCTATTTTAACAGACTTATCAGTAAATTAATACAGATTTACAGAATTACTGAATGTATTGAAATATTTAGGATACGTGTACAATGGTTTATGCAATAAAACTTAATTACCTGATATTATAGTGACAGTTAAAACAACACGAGCCATGAGAAGACATACTTTTAAAAAGGAGAAGAAAATGTATGGAAATTTTTTTAGCTCAACCCTTATAACAATTAGAACAATATAACAACATATGCTAGAATAAAAAAGGGTAAATTTAAATGCAAAATTAAGTACTTAAGTACATATTTTCTTCCCCTTTTTTCATTTACTCTCATTCGAATACTCCCAACTTATAATTTATTTGGAACGCATTTGTTATCATTACCTATATCCAAGTTTTGAGAACTACTTATTATATTTGTAACGATTGTTTAAATTAACAGCAAAAAATTGAGTTTTATAATTTTTATATAAAATCGGACGTACATAAATAGGTCAGACTGTAGTTATAAAAGTGTTGTTTATATAAAAGTTATTCAGTGTTTTTATATGAGATAAATGAGCA